TTCAAAAAGTCATTCTTGTTATGGGGGATCTGTCCCCCCTTCAAGCCTACACAGTGATAAACTGGTGAATACAAACATTGGTGAACTTAATGTATTCTTTTTTGAAATGTATATTGATATGAATTGTGTGTTTGACTCGTGTATATAATGTGGCGTTTTGCAGTATCTTCGAAGGAGTTTTGTGACTGCAAATGGTCTGGACAAAGGATGCAGTGAGATAGTTTTAAAGAATGAATGGGGAAGAAGATGGACTTTAGCTTTGAACCACTACGAAAGACTCAACTATACTTGTATCGGACCAGGCTGGAAAACTTTCTGCCAAGTAAACAGGATCAAAGCTGGAGATTCCTTGAGGTTTAAACTGGTTGGAACAGGGGAAAAGCCTCTTCTTTCGTTGTGCCATGCTGATTCCAACCGTGACAAAACGCCATTAGAATTTCCCGATGATGTAAATTCTTTCTCCTCTAATACTAGCAGCGGACATGATAGTAGCAAATCCCAAGAAAGTGAAAAGGACAGCCTTGGAGACAAGAACATCTCACAAGAATACTTGGAGATGAAGAAAAACAAGAAATTCTCGAGATGCAGAGCTTCATCTTCATATAGTCAAGACCGATTTGTGACGTTAACTCTTACACCATATGCTGTTAGTAAATATAAACTGGTAAGGTTGATGAAAAACTCTACCTCAAGGTTGTCCCTCGGTCTATTATTTACTTTTTTTGTCTCAAATCAAATCTTTGGGCAGATTCTTCCGCTGGGTTTCACGCGGGTAAACGGCATCAACAAGCTAGGGAAGATAACTCTGTTGGGTCAAGACGGTGTAAAACGGGTTGTGGATCTTTTGCAGGATAAAAGAAGCGGAGTAATGCGATTAGGAAAAGGATGGAGAGATTTCTGTGAAGCTCAAGGCATAAAGATAAGAGAGTCTTTTGTGTTGGAACTCATTTGGGAGGACGAAGCAAGTCCGGTGCTTAAGTTCTGCACCAAGCGAAGCTCTGTTTGAAACTGTTTTTTAGAGAAGAATCTTGTGTTGTCTCAACACAATATCGGAATAGTGACACTACTTGCTCTACAATATCTTCCCTATCTGTCAAGTTTCTCTTGGCTCTAAGCATTTTCTTAGATTTGTAGCAGCTTGTTGACTGCATTTCCCTTGTTGCTTCTAACTAGATGTCTACTTATCGGAGTCTTGTTATGAGTTCTAGAAAACGTTCAAAGTTACTACAAGTTTTTTTCAGTCGTACCTCAAGTATGTTGATGTAGGAGAGGCTAAACCGATCTAAGCCTCATATTTTCCTTTTTACGCATTTTCCTTTTCCTATTAGGATTCTATTTTACATCTTAGGTTCTCCCTATATAAAGAANCCTACGTAATTTGTTTTAGACACAACATTATTATTTTAATCTAANCTTGAGAACTTTTCTCTAATCTGGTGGATTTCCAGAGTTTTCTCTTCAAGTTNTTTGCTTGAGAACTTGAATTTATTCTAAGGTTTAGCGCTTGCTGACCTTAAGGTTTTCCGACTGCGTCAAGTGGTATCAGAGCAAGGCTTTCTCCTTATCTTTTCGAAGCTTGAAAAGCTATGGGTGATCAACCAGCAACCAAGGCCGACTTAGAGGGTTTCGCGGAGGGTTTAAAG